GAGCAGGTTTCCCCCCTCCCTCAGGAATGTAGCCAGCTCAGGTTACCTAAAAAGATAGGCTGAGGTGTGTCTCCTCTGCTGGGCCCATCCTAATCAAATGGTCACAGCTCAGAGATTTTAATCACATTGTCACAGGGCAGAGATTTTGGGGAGAAACCAAGGTGGCTTTCTGCCACAGAGACTACAGGCACAGCAGGGTCTACCTGGCTCTCTCCCCTTCCCTCCCTCACCCATCATTCACTGCTCAAGCAGGGATTCCCCCTTCCCTCCCTCCCATCTCCCACAGCATGGACCCCAGCCCCACGGACTCTAGTTGGCATGTGGTATGCTAGCTAATGCTGAAAGTTGCCTGTGGGTGTGTGTCTCCTGTTTCACTAGGACCAAACAAAGGCAGACAAGATTGTGATCAGAAACTAGTTTAAACCTGTAACAGAACAGATGTTCAGTGCATACAGACCAGTTTCAGAATGGTTGAAACCAGTTTGAGATAAATCTGGTTGAATGAAGTATCAGACTCAACTGATTTGGCTTCAACTGGTTTATGCAATGTCTGTCCCAGACCCCTTGCTGGTTTAAGTTAAATCAGAATCCCCTAGCATCCCAGCATGCTGTCTGGGCTGGGCAAGGCCCTCTGCTCCACAGCAGGGCTGGCCCCTCCCCTCTGTTCCCTGGCTAGAGCTCAGCACAGACTTGCAGGCACAGCAGGGTCTGCTGACTTCCTTGTGCCGCCCTTTCCTCCCCCTCTCACCACTCACTGCTTAAGGAGAGATCCCTTCCTCCACTCTGCCACAGTAGGGACTGTAGCCAGCATGTGGTATGCTAGCTAATACCGAGAGATGTCTCTGTGTGTCTTTCTCCAAATTTACTGGGGCAGGCAGACATAACAGTGACTACTTAGGGCTTTTGGAGCTAATCAACTGGTCAGCTGGTAAGCTGTTTAAGAAGTTGCTCTTCTGTTAGTTTGCTGCAGACAGTATGACAAAGCAGGGAGGGTGATTGAAAAGCTCTGTATCATCAACAGATGCATGCACTGCACACCCCACCTTGCCTCACAGTGTTAGCCTGGGGTTAGGGGCTGGCAACACTCCTTCCCCTTGAGCAGCCAGCAGGGAAAAGTCTGGGACCATGCAGGCAGACCTCCCTAATGAGAGAGTCCTGCTGGGGCCTGGCCATGCTCCTCCGCCTCTCAGCCCAGCTCCCTGCAGAAGGGAAGGGAGGGCTGCTCTAGCACCCCCCGGCTTCTCGCCTGAGCCACTCCAGGCATGTGTCTGAATTTCCTCAGTCCAGAGAGAATATCTGTCCAGATACAAACCAGTTCAGTCTAGCCAGGTTAGACCAGCCTGCAAAGATTGAATCAATTCAGGCTCAGGCTTTTTGAAAGTCTGTCCCTAGCCAGTATGAAGAAGTGGGAGAGGGAGATTGAAAAGCTCAGTATCATCAGCAGATGCGTGCACTGTGCACAAGCAGTCCTCCCTCCCCCTCCCCACTTTGCCTCAGTGTGCTAGCCTGGAGCTGGGGGCTGGCAACACTCCTGCCCCTTGAGCCGAGGCTGTGCAGGCAGAGTAGTGGTTTACACCCCTCCCTGATCAGAGTGACCTGCTGGGGCCTGGCCATGTCCCTGCTCAGCTCAGTGCTATAGACAGGAAGGGAGGGCTGCTCTAGCACCCCCCAGTTTCTAGCCTGAGCCACTGCGGGCATGTGCCTGCATTTCCTCAGTCCAGAGGGAATGTCTGTACAGTTGCAAATTGATTCAACCTAGGCAGGTTAGATTAACCAGCCTGCAAAGATTGAATCAGTTCAGGCTCAGGCTTTTTGAATGTCTGTCCCTAGCGTTAAAGTCTATTTCTTGATATTTAAATGCAGTCCTGTGCATAGTTTCATTTACCTGAGGTAAACCAGGCCCATAGTTTTTAATGGTGTTGTTTTCTTTTCTTTTCTTTGCTTTTATTTGTCTTATTCTACTGCCAAGTGACCTTGATCAAGATTAGGGTTGATTGTTTTTGTTACATGTAGCAAAAAATATTTTCCACCCCATTATAATAATGCAAATACATAAGACTGAACAAAGATGGAGCAGGGGGATGGAGGGGAAGAGCATTATTTTTCCTATCTTATAAATGGGGAGATAAGACACAGATTAGACAGACTCTTTGTGTGATCTTATACTGCTCTCACTAGGACTGGAATTAAATGCAGATCTCCAGAGTCTCAAGCTAACATATTAGCCATGAGACATTTTTTTCTCTCTTTAGCACTCTTTAACCAATTTAATAGTTAGTTTATAGACTGGGATATAATTTGCAGTTCCCCAGCATTTAGACCATAATTGCAAGGCTGACAAAGAATCTAGGAGCACTCTACCCTATGAAAAACTACCAGAGCAATACTGAGAGCTCATTTACCTGCTGAATTGGCATCTTCTCCTTCACAGATCCTCCTCTGTAAGAGGGAATCAATCCAACTGTCCCAATTTAATAAAAAAAACAATCGAAGTCAGATTGCCTTTTCTCTTCCATCCATGTATATGTGCTCTGGTTTATGTGCTTTCATGGATCTTGTCTCTCTCATGTTTCAAGACCCTGTTTTATAGTATCATAGTGCTTAGGGTTGCAAGGGACCTAAACAGATCATCAGGTCCAACCCCCTACCCTGGGCAAGAATGAGTGCCGGGATCATATCACCCCAGACAAATATCTTTCCAACCTCCTCTTGAAGACCCCCAAGGTAGGAGAGAGTACCACCTTACTTGGGAGCCCATTCCAGATCCTAGCAGCCCTAACTTTAAAGTAATGTCTGCTGATGTCCATCCTGAACCTTCTCTTTAACAATTTGTGGCCATTATTCCTAGTAACCCCGGGTGGTGCCTGGGGGAACAGAGCCTCCCCCAATTCCTGCTGGTCCCCCCTGGTGAGTTTGTAAATGGCCACCAGATCCCCTCTCAGCCTTCTCTTTTGGAGGCTGAATAGTTTCAGGCCCTTTAGTCTCTCTTCGTAGGGCCTGACCTGCTGCCCCTTGACCATGTGAGTGGCCCTCCTCTGTACCCACTCAATGCTAGCCACATCCCTCTTGAAGTGTGGCATCCAGAACTGGACACAGTACTCCAACTGTGGCCTGACCAGTGTCGCATAGAGGCGAAGGATCACCTCCCTGGACCTGCTAGTGATGCACCTGTAGATGCACAACAAGGTGCGGTTAGCCTTACTGACCGCTTCTCTTCACATTGGCGGCTCATGTCCATCCTGAAGTCAACAATGACTCCAAGATCCCTTTCAGCCACCGTGTTGACAAAAAGGGTGTTCCCCAGCCTCTAGGTGTGCTGCTGGTTCCTTCTCTCTAGATGCAGCACCTTGCACTTGTCTGCATTGAATTTCATCCTATTCTCATCTGCCCACCTCCTGTAATTTGTTTAGATTTAGCTGGATTCTGTCCCTCCCCTCCAGCATGCCCACCTCACCCCACAACTTGTTGAACAGTACAGGCCCCAGGACTGAGCTCTGGGGGACTTCACTGCCCACATCTCTGCAGGTCAAAAATGACCTGTCCACCACCACTCTCTGGGTGCAACCATCTAGCCAATTGACCACCCATCTGACTGTGTAGGCATCAGTGCTGCAGTCACTTAGTTTTTGGTGATTGTTGTAGATCTTTGTTTGGCTCAAAATCTGTGCAGGGGTGTAGGGGCTGTCAATTAGACAAGCTACAGGAAGAATGGTGAGCTAGGGGTATTGTTGAAGGTGGGAACTCATTGCCTTTCCTCCAGACTTTTGGAAAGCATTGTTGTTTTAATACAGCTGGTACCCATTAATAATATTCCCTTCTTCAATAAAATGCATTGTAAAGTTCACGGCTCCAGTCCTGCAAAGGCTTATGCATGTGCTTAACATTACATCTGGGAGAAGCTAGTGTTAAAGGTGAGCACATCTGCAGTCTTTGCAGAAGTGGGGCCAATGTTGCTGAGTACATAATTATTGCTGCAGAGTTTACTCACAGAATCAGGTTCATCACTTCAGGAAGTGATTTTCGATATGTTGAATTGTATTTTTTTATTAACCCCCCCCGCTTCCCCCCAATAACCTTGAATTCTGTTTTAGGTTTGATTAATTTCTTTAGAGAGAGGCTATGAAGTCCATTTGGTTCTGGAGGAATTAGCAAAAATAGTGGAAAGCCCTAAAGGACAGATTTCTAATGTTGCTTTTGATTAATTCCACTGCAATTTTCATCTTTAAGTGTTTTGTCTTCTAGTCTTAACCGGTCATAATAACACAAAACCTCTGACAGAACAACTTTTTTTTACAAATATGCAACACTTAAGTTAGTGTTTTTTTAATGTTGTTATAGACTTCTTGCAACTAGCTCTTACGTGTGTGGCTGCATTCCTTGACTTTTTTCAGGCCTCAAGCATGTACATTCCTCCTTTAGTTTATCATTTACAGGATGAGCTCATACTCTTGTTGAAAATACCTGAGAAAAATCTCTTGGCTACCATAGCCACTGTGTGGATAATTTTCAAGCTAACATTTATTTTTCTGCTCTCTGCTTCTTCCCTAAGATTTTGAACTTTTCGTCTTGAAGCAAAGCTGCAAACATGAAAAACTTTGAATTACAGGCAAAGGCATCTATTCTGTTTCCTCAACCAAACTGGAAAAATCAATCTGGCACAAAAGGTATCAATGACTTCATATGCTGGAGAAGAAAAAGGATGCATTATTTTGGTGGGAGTCAGAAAATTTTAAAAGTAACCAGCCGTTCATCATGGCAGCCCTGCTTGTCTTCCCAGGAAAATGTTTTCAAGCAATTAGCATTAAAGAACCCTGCTTTTAATAAGGTGAGTGCAAGTCCAATATTTTGTTAATTTGCTGCCTTATAATGTCAGTTAATTCAAAACAAAGGCCAACATTTGTAAAATGCTTGAAAGTAGCGTTGAATGTAAAGCTTGTACTAATTACAAACACACAGAAAAGCTACTTTTGATAACCTATATATTGAAATTTAGTGCAATGTAAAGTGTTGATCAAACATTCTGACTTCAGTGGACTGTAGTTGTTGTCATGCTTAACTTTTTGAAAAGACATGTTTTCTGTAAACAAGCTCTCCAATACATATAGGAACATGCTCTCCAATACATATAAGAACAACAGTTGCCTTCTAGCATTAACTTTTGTGATAGAATTGGTATTATGAAGATGATTTTAGCCGATTGTTTTGTTTTAAACATGGTGATGAGATTTTTAAAGTGTTCCCCAATTGTTGTATTTAGATAGCAGTATTCAATTCAACATTGGATTATATAATGTTTATAATTTAAGTTGAAATTTTCCAACGTAATCTAATTTTAATTGAGGCAAAGTTGAATTTGTTTTTATTTTAGTGGAATTTAATAAATGGAAAGCTTGTCACTAGTTAAAATTTCCTACTGCTTGTTTGGCTGTGAGGTTTCAGACTATGTTTATTTGCTGCCTAGGTAACAAATCCAGATGTGGCACTTGTCTGTATTTTACTGAATTATGTGGAACAAGCTGAGGACAAACACACTAGACTAGTCAGCTAGAGTGTACACTCTGGTATCCGAGCATGTTACCAAGGAAAATAAATATTGTACTCTTTCTTGTCATTTGGATTTGGCTGGAAGTGAAACAAGAAGCTTGGCATTGAGATATTACTAAGAGACTGTATGATTGCTTTTATCTTCAGTTGACCTTGGATTGTTTTGCTTTAGAAAGTAATTGTTCTGAGTATTGATTAAATCCTTATGACTATAGTTTCAGAAGAGGACAAGATTTAAAGCACAGGGAGGAAAGGGCTTATTTGCAATGGGGGGAACCCTCCCCCCCACAAACCCCTTGACAGTAACTTTTGTCATTTTGTCCTTTGCAACTTTTTTTTTCAGATTCTTTTTTCTAATTTAGCTTTCAAGTTTATTCTACTGAGCTGTGCGCACTTGTTACTAAAAGTGATATTTATACACGTGCTCTGGGGTGGGGGGGCATTTTAATTAGAGTGACTCTTGGGAGCCACTGCAATTAAAATGCCCGCAGCATCTCATGTATTCAGCGTTTCATGTTTCAAAATGGTGGCAGGGGCGCTCTAACTAAAGCTTATTTGAGCTTCTGTTAAAGTGTCCCCGCTGTCATTTTGTAATGTGGGGGTGCTGAATACATGAGATGCTGCAACATGCTGGACCATTGTGATTAGAATACATTGGAGCATGTGTAAAAGTGCCCACTTTTTAAATGTTGTGTAAGAATATTATATTATGTTACTTTTGGAATTGCAGCTGTATTTTCTAATGGCTAAAGCTGGCAAGCAGAAGTGCTTATACTTCATTGCTAAAGCAGAAGGCAGGGCAGAATGGCACCTTAGAGACTCCCTCTGAATGTGTTAGTCTCTAGGGTACCACGAGGCCCTGCCTTCTGCCTGATTTAAGACTAACACAGCTAATTACCTGTCTACTTTATTGTTAAATGAATGACCAAGACAAGATGTGTACACTGACATCAAACAATTCTGACTTTGTGTGATTTAATTCTGTGACAGAATTGGATCAAATGCTGTAGTTTTATTAAAGGATTAAAAATGTTTCTTATCTTTAAAAATATTAAAAAGAAAAGGTATGCAACTTGATATACCATTTGAAGCACTTGATCCTGTGCACCTTGTGCTGGCACAACTCATATTGATTTTAATAGGAGTTTCCTCCAGTAGAGACTGTGGGAAAAATACTTGCTTCAAAGCTCCAGCCTTGCCCCCCTAATATCCTAATAATTTTTTTTCAGAAGACCTGAGAGAGGAAGGACCCCCTTCTTTTGCTCACTCTTTCCTGTAACCTAGAGGTTGGCATAGTTCAGCCACTACACTTCATGGGCTCTCATGACAGCTAGAATTTCCCTCCCCCCTCTATGGCAATGTGGTAAACTATTCTCTCAAGCTTCCTTCTTCTGTTGCCAGTGCCCCTTAAGGAGCTGTTTCAATCTCCTTCCCTTCCTGTCTCACCTTATAGTGGGTCTCAAGTTTGCTGTTGGTGAATTTTCCAGGACTGAGAAGTCCAGTGGAAGGGAACTCCATGCAGGGATGATGTCAAAGTGATGAAGCATGATAGGTAACAAGTGAAGTAGTGAACTATTGTTTTAAAAGTCCACAGAAGTTATTAAGCAAGTAGCATAATTAAGCAAAGGAAAAGATATCTCCTCATGAAAATAATATATACATGAGTGCATGCCTGATGTTCTTCTAATATAAATCATTTAAAAGAAGTCTAGAGGATAAGCAGTTCAGTTTTAGCTTCAGAGCACTAACAAAAAGACTAAATTCCTGGGGCAATCAGAAACGTGAATGATAGACACTTTCTGTATGTTATTGGGGCTTCAATGTAAGAATTGATGCTCTGAAATCATAATGCTGTATTAATCTTTGCAATTATACAACTTATTATTTAAATATTCTAAGACAAAAACTGCTCTCATCATGCACCTGGGTGCCCCTAAGGGGAATATGATGTGAGTACAAAGATCCTCAGAACAATATTACCAGTGCATTTGTTTAGAATATTAATGGTTATATATGCTGTATTGATTATTTTAATTTATATATCTATAGTATATAGTATATTTGCATAGACGTATAAATTAAGATAATCAGTACAACGTATAGTATAGTATAGTATATACACACACTGTGATATCAGCTTTGTGTTAAGCAATTAGGAGACATTAACAGTGCATGATTTATTCAGCACTGGTTTATACATCTGATTAATTTTAGAGGTAATTATTTTGTGTAACAGTTGTGCATTTGAGAAGTTCCAGAAGGTAATACTAAACTAAAAAATGTGCACATCTGTCTGCTTTTGACAACAATGAATCTTAAGTAGATTTATAAGTTATTTATGGGTATCAAAGTGCTGTTCCTATTGTACATAAAGAACCATAGTGAGCTTCACTTGTTTCTTATCTTCCCCCTTGCAGTGCTGTAAATCTAACTTCTGCCCATCCTATTGTTAAAAGAAAAGCAGCCATATTGTGCTGATTGCTATTAAATTAAAGCAGAAAGGGAGAGAAACAAAGGTGGAAGCCCATTTTACCAGCAGGGATACCACTACCTTTTATTTTGCCTTTTTGAGGTCACAAAGTCATTGCAGGCATCTGACCTCTGATAACCTCTTCAGTGCCACAGCATGCAGTTTCTTTCGGAAGAACTTAATTAAACACAACTGAAGTTCCCTGCTAACATTTGTTGCTGAAAAGATTCTTCTTTGATTGCTTGATGTTTGCTGGTGAAGGGAAAACAAAGATTCTTCTTTTGTTCCCAGAAGAAAAGTTAGCATATGTTAGTTAAGGATTTGTGATTTCCTGTGGAGGTACAGGTTCCTTCTTTAAATCCAACAGCATTCTTTAATCCTGCGGAAGTATCAAAAATAGGGAGTAAAACAATACTCAGAGAATTTAAGCCAGATTTTTAAAATAAATCTCAGAAGAGGCTACTTTTACTTTTTTGGAGGTATTCTGTAATCTTGGATCGTATAATAAATGAAACTGCATTCTCTATATAACCAAATCATATGTTTATGGAAGTACCTTTTATATTAACTATGCAATGTAAAACTTTTATTTAAGGGAAGTTCCTTGTTATGGTATGCTGTAGAAATTTAGATTGCTGTTTAAATCGTGCACATCCTTGGCAAAGGTTGTTATTAAGTCTCAAAAGCAAAACA